AGGAGGCGTGCTGGAAAGAAAGTATGGCAGACCATTTGTTCGTCCGCATCTCAAAGAAATAAACAAAAGGGGCGCGCCGCCAAAATGCCGGAAAATCCACACATCCTTCGACGCAGCCACTTTGCATGCAATGCGAGCAACTTGCACAACGATTTTGTTGTTGTTGTTGTTGTCGTTGTTTGTGGAAATGCCTTGGCGGGTTTTGTGAAAACTGAAAATGAATTCGTAAAAATTCACTCGTAATAATTTCTCGATTTTTGGTGGAAATTATTTGATTACACACACGTGTGGAACGCCCGCCTCCGCACGGCTGATGCAGCTGCCAGCCAAAGGACTCGATCTTCTGCAGCTCTGCCGCTGGCTGCCTGTTGGCCATAAAATAAACTTCATCTTCAGTTCGTGCCGCTCAGCATTTGGGTGTGCGTACACAGAGCACAGAGAAGTGCGCATTCATTCGCAAAATTCCCAAAACAAATAAACTAGTTTTTTAAGTTGGCAAATGCTACGCTTTTGGGGTTGGGCTACAGCAGAGACAGCAGCTCGCTTATTTGCGGTGGCACAATGGCTAAGAGAGGTAACATAGATCCTTTGAAGAGAACTTGAAGAAAATGTTCGAGCTTCAAGACAATGATTTTGATCACACTGAGTAAGGGAGAACGCATAATAAAATGTTTGAAAATTAAAAAGGGTTTCAATTAATTGAAATTCAATTAATAGATGATTTTTGTAATAAATATATCTGAATATGTTCAATTTAAGTTTAATTACTTAAGTCATTACAATTGTAATGATCAATAATTACTTAAATATTTATTCAAGTAATTCTGCCTGAACAGTATAATTGGCAAAATTTCGCCTCAATAGTTTAATTGCTTATGAAATCAGCATTATTATTATTTTATTAATACGTAATTCAAAATATAACATTTAAATACTTCTGTAATTTTGCCAAAAGCATTAATAGCTTGATTAAAATTGTCTGGAATGTATATTTACATAAGTAAACATGCCGGAAAAGTTTAAATAAAAAAGAAAAATTACCTAAGTAATTAAACCTTAGAAGAACAATAAGTAAGGCAACTGTAGTCGGAAGATATAAATACATGACTATTATATATAATTATTGTCATAATTTTACTTAAATACTACTTGAGTAATTAAGTGTGAAAACTAAACAAATTTTTTATTTACTTCTTATCATACTTCATATGTAAAAAAATATCATGACTTAAGTAATTGTAACTGAACTAACCTTGTCTGATATATGTATACTCAGTGCATAAGTAGTTTGGGCTTTCGTCCAGTTTATAGCCATTGAGGCAAATGCCAGCCAAGGCAGCGGACAGTGCGGCGGCCGCATGGCTAGTGGCAGGCGTGTAATTTGCATTTTGCAAAGTCCAAAATGAACTAATAAACACACACACCGGAAGCCGAGTCCACAAATTGTCGATGTTTGCAGCGCAAATCGTATTACCAGGCGGGGTCGGTACCCGCGATCCCGGCGAGAAAGAAAGAGGTCTACGCAGCGCAGTTTCAGTGTCCGCTGGCACACGGCTAATAGGCAGGCAGGCAGTCGCGAATACTTGGCTCAAATTGAAAGTTATTTAATGCAGGAGGAGAAGGTCGAGCCACGGGTCAGGCTAGGGGTGAGGCTGGCGGTGGCGCGGCCTATGAGGTTACGGAAATTGTTACGCGATGCTTGGCCAGGCCAAGAAAATGGCAACCTCAACAACAACAACTGGGAGTTGTTTTCTGTAGTGTTTTTTTTACAAATAAGATTCAAAAAGTTTATGCCGTTGGCTGTCAGGACTTGGCAAATGGGCAGTCGAAGCTGAGCGGGGGTGAGCTGCGGCCGAGCTGCGTGTGATTCGCATTCGCCGGAGGATTCCGTGCGGGGACACTGAATATTTAACAAGCGACTGCGGAAGAGGAAACCAAATGGCGCAAGTGTTGCTCAGTTTAATCTATTTCCTGCACGGTATGCCTCGAGACCAGGGAGATTGTCTGACTGCCCGCCTTGCCGGCCGATCCGCACAATCTTTAAATACACGAATTTATCGTTTCATAAAAAGGCAAACTTCACTTAATTCCGTGAGACAACAAAATTTCTCGGCTCGCCGCAAGTAAATTCATTTTCCCGTAAATATTGTCTACGGCGAAACTTAATTTACCAACAAAGTGCTCATAAAAATGTGCGGTTTAAAAATCATACATATAAACGAAAATTATAACATTTCTGGAAACAACGCTTTGTCGAATTCAACGATTTTATGCAACTGCGGCCGAAATGTGAAAAGTTTTATAATTCACAAGTGGTTTGGGCACGAGGTGAACAGGTAAAAAGTTGTTTAAGATCACGGAGGTACTTATTCCATATTACACTAAATTCTCTGTGAAAATACACAATATATATATTTCAAACTGAAGAAATGACTGTTTGACGGACGCACAGGCCATACATCGAATATCACCAGCAAACGTGGAAAATGGATGGAAAGTCGTTGCATACAACTATTTTAGTTATCAGCATTAACCTCTGATGAAAATTCATTAGAGACGTGTTTTGCACTTTACGCAATATCTACCCCTTGTTGAAAAATGAGTTACAAGAATAGGATCATGGGTTGTATTACGGAAAAAATGGACTTCAATATAATTTCCAATAATTTATGTAAGAATATATTAAATAGTCGAAAGACAAGTAAGTAAAAAAATAATAAAACAACATTAAAAAATCGTCCACGGGCGAAAAATGGGTGGAAAGTGGTTAAAATTTAAAAATAAAATGGCAAGGCTCTCTCTCTCTCTCTCTCGTTTACTCTCTTAATCTCTCTCTCTCGTTCAGTCTCTATATATATAAAAGTTTGTATGTTAGGGCAAGTCAGACCTGGGATTACATTTTAAGACACACTATATTGAATTGCAAATACTTAAAAGCCTTGATTCGGCTTTTTATAACTTTTTTTTTTGACTTCCTCAAGTATATTTAAAAAATATTTAGCCATAAACTTTTGAGATTTCCTTTCTTTATGCAAACTTTCCCTGGAGAAATGAATGTTTATGTCTAAACAGAAAAAAAATGAAAATGTGGCTAGCGACAAAATTGTTTTCAAATTAAGATGGCAATTTTCAGCGACCAGTGCCCATGTTCACGGCCAGAGGACCATGGTAAAGCACCCCAAAATACGACAGGAAGACCTGGTCAGGTGTCAGTTGGGAGTGTGTGTGTGTGTGTGGGTGTGGGGTGGGGTGGGGTGGGGGATAGGGGCGGGGCCAAGAACTTATGCTGTAGCTCGACGGCAACGAAATTTGATTATGTTCGCGGTTACACTTCATTTGTCTCCCCCTTCCCCTCCCCCTTCCCCTTGCTTGCTCCATGGCAAATTGACATAAATTGTTGTTGCTGTTGTCTTTGGAGCCCTCACTCAAGGAATTTATGCGATCAATTAAATTTTTCAAATGACCAAAAAGTTGTTTCGGTTTTTAATTTTCATAAATTTAACTTAAATGTTTTCATATTTCGATAGTAAATTTCATTTCGGCCGCCGCTTAATGTGTCAAGTTTTTTTTGGGTTTGGGTTTTTGGGCGAGTTATGAAAATGATAACAAGATTTTATGATGATTAGAAAATTTAGATATCGGGGCGGGGCATAGGGCATATGAAATACACACTCGTTAGCATTAGAATTTATTGCAAATGAGCAAAACTTTTTCAAAATTAGAATGCACAAAAAGTCAGGAAGGGCAGTGAAAGTAAATCAAATGTAAATCATCGACAGCAACCAAGCGATCCTGGACCAACTTTCATCTTTCAAAAGTCCGGCAGCAGCAGCAGCAGCAAAAATGATATACAACACATTTTGTGGAACCTTTACAACTAAATGCGGATAATCTGTAAGTTTGCTTTACCAAATTTATGTGAAACGGGTGGAGTTTTCCCTATATTCTTCATGCTGCTGCTGCTCCTCCTGCTGCTGCTCCTGCTGCTGCTGCTGTTGGCTGGCCTTGTTGTTGTGCTTTTTCTTGGTTCCCTGTATAGTTTTTCAGCTACCCCCTCGTATATCTGGTGCCAGCCGCCCAAAACTAAAACATGCGCATTCAATGGGCGTCCGTCCCATCCGGGCAACACCCACCCCAACCCGATCCTGTTGCTGCAATTCATTTCCAACAGATGGGTGTGTGTGCCTGTGTGTGTGTGTGTGTTCGTTTGGAGCAGTGCTTCTCGGTATATGTGCGGAGATTTACCGTTTTATACTTGACATTTCCAAAAGTTTAAGTTTTAATTTATGACACCGCCACTTTCTATACGGGGCGACAAGCTAAATATGAGCGTGGCTAGGAGGAGGAGGAGGGGGAGGAAGGACGGGCATCCTTAAACAGGATATCTAACTATTGTCGTTAGTCTTGAGGCGCTCGTCCAGCTCATCTTAACAATACGCTCAGCTTTCCATGCTGGCCATTTGTTCATTTAAATGGCCACAGAGGGGATCCAAGAATACCCCTGCGGTGCGACAATGTTGCCGAAATGGATTCTAAATCTTAAATATTTAAAATCGTATACAAGTTATAATTTATACAAGTAAATCAATAGCTTACAATTAATCATTTACTGCACGTATGCGTATTTAGGAACAAGCGCAGCCAACTTCACTACGTCCTACAAACAAAAATATGGCAACGCCAGAAAAACCTAAGTATGGTGTCCGAAGTCCAAACGGTATTTAAAACAAATATATTCCATTTAAATTAATAGAAAGTGGACAATGTATTTGAACATACAAAATTTATTTGATATAAAATAAGCATTTTATAGCATCCACCGAATATACGAATATTCAATGGCACTTATGCATGTTTAGGAATAATTTACAATGAACAGGCGCAGCCAACTTCATTTCGTTCTACAAACAAATTTATGGCAACGCCAGACCAAAACCCGAGTAGTGTCCGACGTCCAAACGGTATCTAACGGTATCTAACGGTATTTAAAGCAAACGAGGTTTTAGGGTAACACCTAGTCGGGAACTTCCGAACTAGCGTTTTTGACCTCTTAATAGGATCATTTATTTTTCATTAACAATACACTTGAATTTTTTTGCCAAAAAAAAAAGAGAACAATCAACATCAAGATCCAACGATTTGGGAGTGCATGGTTGCCATATCGGATGCTCGTAGCTTTCAACTCCTGTGCAGTAAAAATTGAAAATTTGTTATCACTTTGAAAGCAGTTGCTGGCTCACCCGGCAGCGATTGATGTTTAAATCCGATTTCCACACAATTTCTCAATAAATAAAATCTAGAACCAACGATTTCGGCGAGTATGGTGCCAACTGGGGCGCTCATAACTTCCGACACCTGTGGTCCGGGAATATATATATTAGTAAATATATTTGAAAATATTGGCAATAATAATTGCCTTACCCGGTAGGGAATTGTAGTTATCACCACCACCACCACCCCGGCGCATTTCCGTGGGAGAACTATAAATAGGAGCATTATATATATCTAAGTTGATTTCCAACTATACTTACTACAATCCATTTCGTGAATCGTATCGTCGATTCTCCATGCCGTGTCTCATTGGGGAGCGATAGCCAGCGCCTCTATAGGGATTGGAATCATCGTCGTGATAGTTCCTAGGCCTTTGGGGATACCAATCGTGTCTACCGTACGCAATACAGTCGCGAGAGTCTTCTCTCATATGATCCCCGTCCTCGGGTCGCTCACACCTGTAGCCAGTCTGCGCGACATACTGTTGATAACACTGCACGAAATTCCGGAGTACTGAAAGTCCATAAAAATTAAATATTAATTCAAGCCGAGCTCACATCAATCGCACTGTCATTGTCAGGTGCTGCCATGCCGTAGGTCTCCATAATTTTGAAAATTTTAAAAAAATGAATTTGAATTTTTCGTAAACCGAAAAAGTTGTTTTTAGCCAGAACGTAAGAACAAAAATGAATTCCGAAAATATAGCACAAGTCTCGTTGCCTTTTTTGGGTTGCATGGATAACTAGACTGTTTGTATTTATTGGTTTTCTACTCATAACTAAACTAAGTGCGTTCAACTCTGTAATAGTTATTGATTATGTTTTAAACTAACTAGCAGGCCAGACTAACAGATGGGCCAAGCACGGAGAATTTGAAGCTGTTCTTCTTTTTAAAATAATATTAACTCACCAAGCTCTATCAAATAGACAAAGTTAAGTGATATGTGTAACAGATCTGGTTGAACAGAAAATGAACAAAATGTTAAATACTGCCTTGCTATGCGATTCTCATGAATTCGAGTAGACAGGATTTCTTGCTTTAAATGAACTGTTTTAATAGCCCTTGTTGGTCAGTTTCCTTTTGGGGCTCAGCTACTTAACTTTTTTTCATATGTATTCTTTTGCCTTTTCTAATAAAATTAATTTAGAAGTCGGTATTCCAAGCCCGAAAATCAAGAAAATGGAGTATCAATATTGTTAGTTTTACAGTTTATTTTATTTATGTTCGATTTTTATGCTTAACTACAATTGAAAAAGAACATTATTTTTGTATAGTCAGTTTTTTTTTGCTTAAAACTCTTCACAACGTTACCCGAAGAAAATTTTTGTATTTAAAATGGACTAGTAAAGGTTTCTATTTTCCTTTTAAAATTTCTAATTTGCTAATGATGTGTGAGTGTGCATGTGTGTGTGTGTGCCTGTATGTGTGTGTAAAGTAACTTTAGCTCTAAGTCCATGGGCTCAACATGAAAGCTGAAATCCCTCTGTCCACGAGGCTAGCCAGGAAAACTCTGCACCTTCTCTGTGAGGATGATGAATTTGGACATTTTGTGTGCGCAAAGTCACTTGCTTAAAAGTTATTAGGGATTAAAAGAGTTGCGGCTGTGGACACAAATGCGCTTCGGAATCTGCTTCATTAGAGACGGAGGCCATTGCATGCGACTGTACAAGCAGGACATGTGTGTAGTCACTGTGTGTGTGTGTGTGTGTGTGTGGGAATGTGTGTGTGTGGGTAGGTAAACACCTTTGGTGAAAGTTTTTGAAAATACTAAAAGGAAATCACTTTAGACGTCCTGCAGAACGGTCCCAAAGAAAACGCAGCAGCAGCACCAAAAGTTTGCGCAGCTATGCCCCCTGTATATCCCCCCAAACCCCCCAAAAACCCCCCTGGACCCAACCACAAAGCTGAAGTTTGTGATGGAGAAAGCGTGAACGATTATGAGTAGCAATCCTGTCTACTCCTGCCTGCTCCTGACTGGCGTTTTAATGTTGCCCGCTGCAACTTCTGAGACATCTTAATTCCCTTCGAGATAAATCAAAAATGGGTAACCAGATCAGTGAGTGTACCCATTGGGGCTGGCGGGGGGGTTCAGGTTTTTGCTACACAAAATTTGTATTTTTATTTACATTTTCAACTTATGCATTTTTATGAGCTGCGCTCTATGTGGGTGTGTGTGTGTGTGTGGTTTATCCTTTCATAAATGCGTCCAACGGGCAACTGATTTATGCCACCGCAAGCTGGCGCTGCTGGCGCTGCTGGCAGCCAGTTGCATCCCTTGGCCCCCCCCCCCCCCCTTCTTGCCACACCGGCGCTGGCAGCCGCTTCCTGACGTCGACGACGACGACAAAGTAACAAAACAGCAAACAAAAATTCCAGAAACAACATAAAACCGATTGATTTATTTTGACAATGCTCCATGCAGTGCCTAGCTACACACGGAGCCGGAGTCGGGAGTCGGAGTCGGGAGTCGGAGTTGGTGGGTCCGAGGCCAAGTCCGGCTGCCATTGTTTGCACAGGCGTCGCTCGGCCCCATCGACATGTTCCATTCGCATTTCGGACCGTCAGCAGACCCAACCCCAACCATAGCCTAGACCCAGCCACCCCCCATCCCGTCACGTTGCCTACCGCCTGCAAAGTTGTCCTCTTTGTCCGTTTGTAAAATATTTTATTTGCACATCTTTCTTATTTTAATCCTTCATTGCATTCTGTTTGGTTTGGGCGCCTTGAGCTCCATCCCGGGTTCGGTCTGCATGCAGCCGCAGTGTGGGAGCGGGAGCCGGTGCGAATACAATTCGGACTGCGTGTGTTTCTATGCTGTGGCAAATGCCCATAAAACACACGTTAATTACCCTACAGCAGCATCCCCCGACCCCCGCAGCGAGCTTCACATTTATCCCTGCAGAAGGACTCGTTTGATTTAAAGCAAACAAAAAATTATCTCCTAGCGCTAATCACTAATTCTAGCAGGCATTACCCGATTTTTCCCGGCCAATGAGGCGCTAGAATTGATAAACTATCCAATCTGAGGTTTTGCAACGTCCTTCCACCAATTTTCCACATCTGCGGGTGGAAACGGTAAATCGGTAAATAAAAACAAATTCTTTTGAATAGAAATAGCGGGAAGTATATAATTTGTTACAATTTTGGCGTAAGTATGTGGAATGCATAAAACAAATGTAGAACTGTTCACAAGGTTTCGTACATTATTCTGTTAAGGAATTTTTGAAAGACGAACGTCCGTCCTGGCATTCATTATATGACCGAAAACGAACTTTTACTACGAAAATAACTTATATAATAAAGAATGGAGTTCGAGACATCACCATTATTGCCAATACGAGTTGACCGTGACCGACTGTCCAATAGAATCTGAAATATGGCTTCATATTTATATTTATATTTTGTGAATTTTAAGCACATACCATCCGCAAATTGAGGATACTCAGGCTGCTGCTTATTACATCTATCATTGGGTGTACTGTGGGTGGGAGAATCATAAATTAGTCGAAATAGGATATATAATCGATATTCCAGCTAATTACTTACTATAAACCATTGCGGGCCAACATTTCCCGGGCTCTGCGATTATTACGGCTCATGCTACGATATTCGAACGAGCTGTTGGTCACGGAATGCCGGGGTGGGTAATCCTCATTGCATCCATACCGTGAATGGCCAAGGTCCGGCTTGCAGCCGCCGTCGTAATATTCGCTTTGGAATTGTTGGCCACTCATATGCGGAGCACCTGCCTGATCGTAGCTCTTATTAGTGCCGTTCATCTGTGGGGCAGGCAGCGAAATGGAATCATTGAAATTGAAATCCGTGGGAGATGCGGCATACTCGGCATACCTCGGGATAAAATAGTTGGGGAAATGGCATATCGATCCGATAACCACCAATTTGTGCATTCTCAAAGTAATCCATAATTTTTATAAAATTTTAAACTAAACCAGGATTAGGAAAAAATAACCTATGCCAAAATATAGTAAATTTTTAGGTCGAATTAAAGATAGTATTTGAGTTACAAGCTCTGAATGAATACTGAAATTTTATACATGCTGCAAAACAATTTACCTAAAACTTAAAGAAAAGCCAACTTGACTGAGTTAAAAAAAAAAACGAAAAAAATCCTTTAACTATATAAATAATCTTGGTTGCTTGGCGAACTTTCGAAATTTTAGTTTGGGCCAGACCTCGAGGCGGCTTTAACAATAATTTTAGATCAAAAACATATGAAAATAGCATCACATCTGGCATAGGGTAAGACTCAATTGTCGCTAAAGTTTGAACCAGTCAATTGTTGTCGTTTCTTTATGCTTTGTTCATATAGAAAAAGAGTAGATCTCCCGCTTCATAATGGCTAGCGTATCCAGGCCACGCCCACTTCCACAAATTGCAGACATTTATATTAATCTGTCTCTGAACAGTGCATAGCATAGTCGGTTATACCCAATTCATACCAACGTTTTTTAGTGCACTGCAAAAGTCGACAGCGCGAAGTTTTTCAACAAAGTGGCAACGCTGTGCATTGTAAATATTTGCAACACGTACTAAGTGCATTGCAAGGTCGGCTAGAATGAAGATTTCATATATATTTACTGGCAATTCAAAATAGAAATTGTTTGTTTTCTAGTTCCAAGTTTCTTTTTGCATAATGGTAGAAATATCCTATGAAACAATACAACATTTAAAATAAATGTGGCATACCTCCAGATTGTATCCGATTCAACGATTGTAAAGTAGTATTACGTCGTGGAGGATTCCCATTAATTTACTGATTCACTGATATGGTATGTAGCACAATAATTCTAAGAACTATCGATGGCTAGATTTGGATGGCAGTAATACAAGAAACGTGTGTTAACTGGGCATTTATTTCATAAGTAACCGAAAGGATGAAATTATAAGATAACAATTAGTTCCAAGCCAGCAAACGGGTGCGCACTCAAATATATGTATATATAGATATAAATATAAATAAATTGCGACTAGTAATAAGGGTTGCCGCCTTGACGGGACTGACCGTACATTTGGCCCTCGGCACCACCAATACCGGGCAACGAGCTATAATAGTCGCCATTTCCTCTGCCCGAACGTTGATCCGTTGGCGAGCTGTTTGGTGGGAGGGAGGGGGGGTTAAGAGCAGGGCATTCCATATTAACTTTGGACTGGATGCACTTACTAGAGTCCGTTGCGCGAGTTCATTTCTCTCAAGACTTTTGTATATCGCAGTGGGCTGCGGTAGCCGGGACCTCCGAAGGAAGCCGATCCGCTCTGACAGTTCCTCGAGTCGTCATAGGACTGCAGTCCACCGCCATAACCACGCGGCTGAAGGTAGTCCTGACCCATCTCTGGTGGCTGGCCGTCGGGCGAGGACATACCGAAGCCTTCCATAGATTGATATTGACCATTTCCGTTACCTTGGCCGTAATCCATGCTTAAAATTTTTTTTTTTTTACGTTTTTTCACACGATAAATTTATCGAAAAATTTTGAAAAGCCGTAAAAAGTCCTATACAAATTTTTTTTTGGATACCTTTACTGTCCGAAAAGTTATTTGTAAATAAACATATGTCCGACTGTAGCCGGCACAGGCCACATTTGAATCGAGCTCATGGATAGCTTGATCCCAGAAAAAATCTGTAAAAATCTGTTAAAATCGAAAACAAAGTTCTCAACATTTTGGAAGCTGTGCCCAGCCATCGCAGATTTATGAGTCCATTTCCCTTGGCTGGACCCAAGTAGCTTGGCCAATTTCTTAACCCATTCGGACGGCGGCTTATCGCAGCAGCCGCAGAGCCAAGCAAAGTTTTTCAGCCGACAAAAAGAAAATGCCTCTAAAATCGCCATAATGGAAATCAAAACGCCAACCCGCTCCCCCGCCTTCCCCCCCCCCCCCCTCTCGCGGAGCCAATGAATATGCAGGAGGAGCTGCAGTAGTCGGCGAATAATTAAAATCGAGCAGCTCCTTGGGGAGGATTACACGAGCGCAGCCTCTGAGAGATACGGGCCACACTCCTTACGCTCGACAATTAAGTGCGGCTCGTAATCTGTCTGTCGTAATTATGGCTCCACGGCGTATTTATCTGCTGCAATTAGCGCCGTGCACGAGTCGCATATTTCACAGATCCAAAGATTGAATTGCACGGACCAAATTTGCATTGCGCTTAGATGCAGAGCTGGCTCCTTGGCCCCGGGACGCCAGCGAGCTGCGCAAGTTTATGTCTTTAATTAAATTTCGATAGAAAAAATATTCAGGTATTTAGACACCTTAATTCTTTGCTGTAATATTATTAGCAAAACTCTCCATTCGATTCTGTAAGAACTCCTTGTTGGACGCGCAGGCGCAAAGATGCAGGCCATATATTAAAATAATATATTTATTATAATAATAGGTAGTTAATTATCCATCTTTAGCTTGGTTTTACTAATAAACATTTTTAGTCGCAAAAGTTGGAAGATTGAGAAAGTTCAAATAGTGAGTTAATTACAATTGTAGCTCAAGGATGGATACATTAACGATATTATTTTGATTCATTATACCCTTGTGGGGAGTATTATAATTTTGACATAAAATGTGTAGCGCATAGAAGGAGGCATCTCCGAGCCTATAAAGTACTTATAAATATTCTAGATCAACATCAGCAACCTAGTTATTAAAGCCATGTCATTCTATCCGTCTGTCCGCCATCTGTTTCTGTGCGAACTAGTTATAGAGCTATAAAGCTATCATCTTAAAACTTTACATAGGTCCATCTTTCTGTTGCAGAAAAAATGTATGTCGGAACCGGCCGGATCGTACTATTATATATACACTATAAGTAGCAGCCATAGGAACGATCGGCCCAAAAGTAGGTTTCTTGTATGAAAAACTCGTTTGCTTATCAATGATATATAAATATATACCTAAACTTAGTTAGTTTTCCTACACTACACTATTCAAATTCTTATCAACATCAGACCATTATATCTTTTAACTCTATTTCTGGAGGTAACAAAATATTTGAGAATAAGTAGTGGTTTATATTTTTTTTACATTTTAGAAGTATGTTTTTATCTGCGCATAATAATAATTATACACTGTATAAATAACTGACTGTAGCTGGCCGGATAACTAATATAACTAAAATTATAAAAATATCTCGTTCCCTTAAATTAAATCTGACGAATTGAAAATATACGATAAAAATGTATTGCTGTCGAAAACATCTCGAGCAGAATCACAATATACAAATTCATTTCTAATATTCATTAAGGCCAAAACAATATTTGCAGCTATTAATTTAGTTGCAATTTATCGAAAATAAAAATAAAATAATTCTTTCAAATTTTTGGCGAGTTTAAATTTTCACACGACTATTATATCATATTGCTTCTATAGAAGTCTTCAGTTGCTGATATACTCAAAAAAATACAATATTATATATTATATATAACAATATATTTTATAATATATTATTAATAAACAGAAATTATATTATATTATAAAATATTTTTTTATTAATAAACAGTATTTATATAATATTGACCTAAAAGTATATCTAAAATTGCACTTAAGATTGAACTTGAGATTGAGCTGGAACTGTAATATTATAATCTTTGCTACAACTTTTGTTAACTCTCTTTGGGCTTTGATAAATCTAGATTTGTCTAGGATTGGCAGTTAATATGATATTTGATCAACATAGTCACAAAGTCGTGGGCATTATCTGCCCAGAGCGAATGGATCGCTGGAGGAGGTCTTCACGTAATAGATGCCAGTCTTGGGCACGGATGGTTCGCCGCCCATTCGGTGCGCTTGTCGCTGGCTCTGGTCACACTGCCACTTGCGCCTCTCCCGCTTGCAGGGCGTGCCCCAGAAGCCAGTCGGGGAGTTGATGGACTCGGCGAACATCTGATAGGCGCGTATGTGCGAGCAGCCCAAGTAGAAGCAGTTGCGTTGACGGAGTCCATAGTTCGGATAGAAGGTGGCGCTGCCCGTGGGCTTCAGGAAGCCAAAGTTGCCGCTGGTGTGCATGGACTCCACATACTTGGCATCGCTGGGATCGATGCGGAACTGGGCACTGCGATGGCGAAATTTCGGACCAGCCGGATCCAGAGCGAAGATCGTATTGTACTGCTCGGGCTTGAGGCGTTTGCCCGCGGCGCCGGCTATTTGGGCGCCCAGCGAATGCCCGACCAGGTACATGTCATCGTAGCTGGCCTGGAACTGGCGATGCAGATCACGTGTGAACTGCGCCAGCTGGGCACCGAACTCCTCGATTAGTTGAACCACGGAGAAGTAGTTGATGTTGGCGGAACTGGCGCTCCAGTCGGCAACGATCACATTATAGTCGCCGTGCCTCAAATAGGCGTTCTTCACGTCCCGGTTGAAGGAGCCGCGCGACTGGCTCATCCAGCCGTGAATGATGAGACGGGTGGGCAGCGATCTATTGAAGCCGGCATGGCGCCACTTCTGCTCGTTTTGGAAATCCAGCTCGCGTCCGCACTCGGGAAACTCGCGCTTGAACAAATAAAAGAGCATGCGATGGCGTGTGGTGCCAAAGGGATTCAGATTTCCGGCAATCTTCTTCAGGAACGACAAGTCCAGAAAGCTGCCAATGCCACGTGACTCGCTCAGATCGTTGTCGCACTTGTTCCACACACAATGCTCGGCGCCCTCGTACTCATCCGCCTCCAGCGTGGACTGCAGATCGTCGGGCTGCTCCTCTTCAAAGTCGCCGCGTATGCCAATGTCCACCTCGTCAGGATCTGGCAGCAGGTCCATAAACTCGCCCATCTCCGCCTCATAGCCCTCATCGATATGGTTGCTCTGGGCTGCAAAGGAACAGGTTTTCTTACGATTTGTGTCCCACTCCCCTCGGTTAAGCTTCTACTTACCATGCGCTGTGCCCATTAGCAGGACTACGGCAACTATTTGAAACCACATTTTGTCTCGGATCAGCTCTAAAAGATCTACACGAAGCGTCTATTAGACTCCACTGGGCACGTTCAGCTCACACGCTTGTTATATATACGCCAACTAATCAGAGTCTCAATCTGATCAGGGAGCCAGCGGCGTAGCGCCAAGACCTTGCACCCCCTTTGCAATCCAATTGCCAGACAAAGATCAGCTGCCAACGCCTCTGGAGCTTTCATCTGGCGATCTACGCTCAATCGAATTGGCATTGCCCACGGCAGCAGGCGGCACGCGTTTCCCAGCTAAGCAACTCTCCCATTGCAGCTGATCTCTAATTGCATTACCGGTTCTATATATACTATATATGGTATATATTAATACACATCGAGTGTTTGAACTTTTATGACTGCGACTCGATGACGTTTGGGAATTTCTTTAATTCGTTTGGGGCGTTTTTAATTGCAGATTTGAATCATGTTATTTTTCACCTTATAAACTAAATGACATAGGTGCTATGGGTCAATTGGAAATGTTAATAATTAGCAGAATGTCAATAGTTGCCATTTTTATCAGGAATATCAATTAAACAATAAGACTCATCGGTGCAATCGTCATAAAGTCTACATTGTTTTTTTTTTAAATTGATATTTGTCATTACTATATTATTATATACAAGAATAATGTTGCCAGATTTAGATGCCAAATTGATCTAGAGACCAAACCATGAACTAAGAGCCAAATCTCGTTAAAATCTGATGAGATTTGACCGAGTTATGGCTGTGGGAAACCATTTCTACATGATTTTTAATATATCTATGTACATATGTATGTATGTATGTATGTACGTATGTATGTATGTATGAATGTATGTGTATGTGTATGTATGTATGTATGTATGAATGTATGCATGTGTATATATGTTATATGCATGCATGTATAAACGAAGGAATGAATGAAGGGATGAATGCATAAATAAATGTGTCTGAATGTCTGTATGTAATTATGTATGTATATATGTGTGTGTGAATGTGTGTGAGTATGTGTGGCGTGTGTGTATGCATGTATGTGCGTATATATGTATGTATGTATGCATATAAGTCATCTTCTATACCAATAGCAGACCAATTTGTCTTGTTGCGCGGCAAATTTATTAAAGCTGCCCTCCTCCTCGATTCTCAAACATTTAAGTAAGGCTTGCAGGCTTCACCTATAAAGTTGGCGCAGGCGGCTTCAACGCTGGAAGCTGAGGAGCCGGAGGAGCAGGAGGAGGAGCACCAAGGAGGAGGCGTGAGTTTGTAAGTATGTATGTAGGTATGTATGTAGGTATGTATGTACATAGGTATGTATGTAGGTATGTATGTAGGTATGTATGTATGTATGTATGTAGGTATGTATGTAGGAATGTATGTGGGTTTGTGGTATGTGGTATGTAGGTATGTATGTAGGTATGTATGTAGGTATGTATGTAGGTATGTATGTAGGTATGTATGTATGTATGTATGTAGGTATGTATGTAGGAATGTATGTGGGTATGTATGTATGTATGTATGTATGTATGTATGTATGTATGTATGTATGTATGTATGTATGTATGTATGTATGTATGTATGTATGTATGTATGTATGTACATATGTATGTATGTATGTATGTATGTATGTATGTATGTATGTATGTATGTAATTACGTATGTATGTATGTATGTATGTAAGTATGTATGTTTTTTTGTGTGTGTATATGTATGCATTTGCAAATAATTATATCTTTCTATATATTGCCGCTGCTCTGCAAATCAAAAAAATAGGTATTTTTGATGTTGCCCTTTTAAGCGATTCTCACAAATGTAAGTAAAGCTCGTGTGCTTCATCAATTTAGCATTTGGCATCTAGGATATTTGAGGGTACAATTTTTACATGAATTTTGACTAAGAATAATGTTGCCAGATTTACCAAACAATTTTATATATAGAGATTATAGATATACATTATTTTGCTTCTTTTGTCTTATGGAAGTTATATAATGAAATCACAAGTGATACGGTCCATAAACGAAAGCTTTAATTTGAATCTTCATCTCACTTATAATAGAATATTTTATTGTATGTTAATTAACAACTTATATATTTTTCTCATGATTTTTCTGTTCTTGCTGGTTTGATTCACATTAAATAAACTGGGATCCGGTCGCCAACCTTTTCGTTATAATAACTTTCCTTCAAACTTATAATTCGAGTAATGTTGGTTTTCGATAATATCTTTCAATGATTTATTTTATAAAGTAAAATAAGCTCGCAAAAAGTAACGGGCTTGTGTCATGTGTTACGTATTAATCAGCTTTGAGTCGTCTGCAATAATTTTTTGTCAGTGTGGCAATATATGGTAAAAGTGGCAGCACCATAGCTAATCGATACGCTGCAAATATATCGATAGTTATTCTTATGGCTTCCATGTTATCAATAACAAAGAACAAGCACAATTGTAAATACCAATTGCCTTCCGTAAAGATAGCCGCACATCGCGGTTACAACAAATCAATAGAATGAGTCTTGACGACGTCATCTACGTAATATGCCTGCTGGCCTGCATTGGCGCCGGAAGTTACGTGAAGAAAATCCGCGATGAGTCGCAGCGCAAATGCATTTGCTCAACGCTGGGCATTATTGTTGTTGTTGTCGTCTCGGGCTTCCACAGCCTGCACTGTGCCATCTCCGCCGCACTGGGCACGGCCAGTGTGCTCCTGGTGCATCCCAGGTAAGTGGAGTGTCTGTGCGTGTGTGTGTTTTCTTTTTGATATTCAATTTCAATTTATCCATAAACATATTTCCAGCAAATGTCACTTGGTCACATTTGTCGTCATGTTTGGCTATCTGGTTTTTTTCCGGCTTGCGTACCTCTTTGGCCTGCCAGCGGTGCCCGGCCATACCAACATGATACAAATGTTGCTTACCCTGAAGGTTAGTTGCATAACTATAATTGGCTTCGCCTTGACCGGCCTTTTCTGAACTCTTCACTTAGGTGTCTGGCATTGCGTTTGAGAAAAACGCAGCCTGGAAGCGTTTAAAAGCACGCGACGAACAGGACAACAATGAGCAGCGAGATGTCAACAGCGAGCCCAGCATCGAGATTACGGACTACGATATAGACTTGCAGAATTTGAGTGCCACAGAGATTGTGCACTATAGCTTCAATTACGTTGGCATTCTCACAGGTCAGTTTACAAATGCTATGCATATATTCATGTCTTTATCTAATTATAAAGTCGAGGCACAGTAAAAGCTCGCTTGGGTGGACATCCACAATTCCAGTTTTTGTTCCGCTAAAGTATAGTGCTTAAAAGAAATGTCAAACAAAAGCTGAAATGTAAAAAAGAATATCCTATGTCTAATGGCGCTGTCCGTTAATAGAGTTTTCACTGTAGTTGCCATTGCATGCGTTTGTGCTTATGCTTGTAGCCTTACATGTATGCAATCTATGCCTTCACCTTGAATTGCTTGTTGCTGTACGATTTGCAGCCGGTGCCAAAGTCCATTTATTCAGTTGTCTGAACTAAAGCTGAACCCACAAATAGTAAACATTTTATGGCTGGTTATCTATAGATGCGAATAATCACTGTACATGCACTTACACGTCTTATCTATACGCACTGTCAGCATGTCTTTCTATTTATAAACGAATATTGCAGAATTTCATTTAGAACTTAATTATAATAAGTCTTTATCGTAAATTGATAAAACTATTTAGTTAATCTACGAATAATATTTGCTTATTTAGGTTTAATTGTATAAATAGTAAAACTCTTGTTTAATTTATATCCATTTCTCTAGATTTTTTGTAAACTATTTTTACCATTACCTTTTGCTTTCCTTTTATATATTTTGTAAACCTTTTTATATTTGTTAACTACATTTTTGCTTTAAATCATTAATTTTTGGCTACTTTAATTTGATATATTTTGTTTTAAGAGTTTACTTATAAAAAGCTGAAGCAACTTGAAAGAAATAGAAGATCTGAAAGTCAAAAACTGGTTTAATTCCCATTTAAGACTTTACAAGCAATTAAGTGAAGAGTTTAACGAAATGATTAAAAGAAGATTAATTATTTATTTTCGATAAAAAACACATAATTATGTATGTATTTAACACTCTCTTTGGATTTGCCTAAATGCAAATGTATAACTAATTTTGTATCTTTCAGGCCCATATTATCGCTATCGTACATATCGTGACTACTTCGAGATGCCATTTAAGGATCATGCGCCCTGCGCAGAGGCAACCATTGAGCTGCTCAAGTCGGCTGTCTTCTACTGCAGTCTATATCTGCTGACCAACTACATTTGGCCACTGGACGTAAGTACATGAGACAATTAAATATTAATGAACGAAAGTTGACATTCTATTAATTTCAGTACGCGCTTAGCGATGAGTTCTACAACGATCGATCGGTTCTCTACCGCCTTTTATATGTGTGGCCTACATTCTTCATTTTCCGCGCACGCATCTACACAGGCCTGACATTGAGCGAGTGCGTCTGCACAATGGCAGGATTTGGTGCGTATCCCGATGAGGCAGATGTCACCAATGGAGAGGGTCCGCGCAAGCGTTATCAGCACATGAAACGAGATGCCGAGAAGCGTAGCTACAATTTTACAACAATCGTGAACACACGCGTCCTCGAAGTGGAGCGCTGCTGGACTTTCCGCGAGGGCATGAAGCACTGGAACGTGTGCGTTCAATATTGGCTGGCGGTGAATGTCTACAAACTGTTTCCCATCAGAAAATATAGGTGAGTGTGCATAAACAATCTACATGTGTGCTGTTGCCCTGTAGCTCAATAATACTAGCTAAAGTTTAGTTGGTTTAATTGAGCTTTGTGCAAGCATAGTTGTTAGTTTTATCGTCTTGATGTTGTAATTATTTTAATGGATACTTGCCCAGGCTAGAAAGGTATTCAAAGTATCGTATTTAAGGAGTTTCTCAACTTATATTCTTTTACTAAACATTATTTTCACTTTTAGAACGGGCGCCACGTTTCTGTGCTCGGCGTATTGGCATGGCTTCCGGCCGGGACACTACTTCTGCATCATGGGCGCACCATTTTACGTTCCCCTGGAAGACATGTGGCATAAGCTTGTGCGCAAGGATGCTGTCGGCCTGCGCCGCACCGTAATTGATGTCATATTCTGGATATCCAAGTGGTTCGCCTTCAGCTACCTGGGCACCGCCTTTTTGCTGTCCTCGTTCGACAGCATTTGGCGCTTCTACAGCTCCGTCTATCACATTGGCTATATCACTTGGGCGCTTCTGGTAGTCTTGGGTCTGTACCTCACAAAGCTCAAGAAGACGGCCGAACGCAAAGCAAAACGCGCTGCGGACTCCATTGCTCCTTCTGAAGAGCCAAGCACATCCAAACAAAAAGCGCAGTAAGAACATAATTCAAATATGCAGCACGAACACAATTATTAAATAGTTAAATACTGCAACTTTCCGTGTTCCATTTATACATAGATGTTGTAGATTGTTAGTCAAATTCTTATATATATGTACACCATAAGATATATTACGAACTTTTTATATTGTTCAAATTCTTGACAAAAACACTAAAGTTAAACCGTAGCAGCTTCATAATTTAATATAAATAAATATATTAAATATTGTAGCTCCAAATTTGTCATACAAAATCTATACCCTTATAAATGTACACAAAATGAGTTACATCTCCATTAAACATGTACAAACATTCTTGATCAGGACAATGAGATGAGGTATATGAATCAAACGTACCAATATATAGTTTCTTCTTATGATTTAATAAAATATGTTAACGAATTTAATTGGAAAAAACAAATGGAGTGGCTAAGAATATAAAAATTTATAATTTATACACACGTTTGGCTGTAAGGTTAATTATTCTTTGACAGTCCAAACAAATTTTTCCCTGAATTATACAAATATTCAATTGAACTTATTGAAGCTTTAAATGGTTATATAGTTTTCTAAAATTTAATCTAAATATTATCTACCAAATGGAATATATATTATAAAAAATTAAAAAAAAAACAACTGCAAAATATATCAGCTGCTATATTCCGAAAACAAAAGAAAAGCAAGTGTTGAAAAAGTTTCTCAGATATTGCGGCTTTATTTTTGAAAACAATATATTAAAATTAAAATACAAGCTTACCAGACTATAGTTTATTTTATTTACTTTCAAACTTAAACATCATTAAAATATTTAACAAAGATTTCTAAAGTTTTATACAAAATGCTGGTATTGAGATTGATTGAGCTATGCAGTTTGAAAAACAAGGAAAAATTCGAGATGTATATAGATATGAATAATACAAGCAAATATTATAAAATTCGAGTGGAAAGATTTTTGTTAGTGCTTCGATTTGTTCTACTGAATGCGAATAATGTTATGTCGATTTGTTGTATGTAATTATCTAGAGAAAAGAATACTTAAACCAATTGTTGGTCTCCATAAGCTCTATATGTAGATTAAGGATTTTGTAATTGTTTTTTTTTTTAATTTATATTCGATACCAGCTCGAATTTGGTCTAAATTCAATGCGTTTCGATTTCAGTTTCATAAATTTAGTTTCTTCAAATGTGGAGCATGGCAAGAGAGATTTCCTGTTGCGGTAGGTAATGCTTGTGCCCGCCAAATACCACAGAGGCGAGGGCAAAAGCGAGTGTCAGGCCGTTGTCGGCTCATCGGTAACCAGGGATAGGCGACGCTTCACATCCTGCGTGGTGTTGTAGGCGCCACAATGCACGCACTTGAGTCCGATGAAATGAAATTTGGTTTTTGAAGTCTGCAAAGGAATGATCAAAAAGCTGATCAAAAAATCGAATGGAACTATAATCTGTGCGTGGGTTACCTTGTGACAATCGTTGCAAAAGATGTGCACACGCTGATTCTCGTACTTGAGTGGAACGGGCATGCGCAGCGCCTGGGCATCCAGGTACTCCCACAGCGCCGTCATGTCAATCAGCGATGTTTGGCAGGTGGGGCAGGTGTAGTGACCCGAGGCCAGCAGCTGATCGAAGCACATTTTGTGCAGCAGATGCCCGCAGTCCGGAATGTGGCATGGAATGCGCGACGTGTGTATATCACCCAGGCAGACGGGGCAATGCGAACGCGAGATATTCTCCACGCACTGCAAGACAAAATATATAAACGGTGAGTCCCCATATTTTTTATATCTTTTCATCTTTCTCCTGAGCCAGCATGGATTAAACTTTTAAATTATTACCGGTTTCTTATCGACAAATAAACTTTCAATATGTTTGCCAACTTTTCGGAGCCAAGAAATTTGACGTTTTACGCAACTTCATAAACTGGCTTTGCGTTTAAATTTCAAATATCTATAGCCATTAGGAAACCAGTTCAGCAATGATTCTGCATAAATTTGAATACTCAAGGCTACTATTTCTTCTAATGATCCGCAATCTATCTATGCACATATCCAATTCGCCAGCAGTGTCAGGGCTAGCCGCAAAAAAAGCTACCATTAAATTCAGATAGTCCAAATCGAATGCTCTTGCTGTGATTCATTTCCTTAAAAAGCATTGTTAGGGCTTTCGATTTTAGCCAAATGATATGATATCATAGAGTACATAGACATGCCAAAAAATGTGCTAGCCATAAACTTGGTAGAGTTTGACTTTGAATAATTGAGGTATATTATTTTCATAAATCAAGTGTATGATTGTTAAATCGATTATTGAAACCAATTTATATGATATATGTACATGCCTGATGTATAAACAATAAATTATTTTTATCTGCATCATGTATCCATCAATTTAATTTGGTAGCTTAAATCATGAATCAGTTGTTATTTATTTTTTGTTAAGTTAGACACATTTAACCTAAAGGCTAGACAATTTATGTGCGCTTATAATTCTCAAGTTGTTCAAGCGCAAAAAACCTTGCTCGCGCTTGAAGAAGAAAAAGATAAAAACAATATTTTTACTTGTAGCTAACTGATTTACTTAAACGCTTAAAAGCTTTATATAATTTAACCGATTTGCATGTCAAGCGGTTTTTTTCCAATGAGTAAACAGTTAATTAAGTATGAAGTATGAGTATATGCCTAAGTTTGACCTATGCAAAGCTGAAGAGTTGAAAAATTATTTAATATCTTCATCTGTTAAAATTAATAATGGAAATCTGCTTACCCTGTGTCCATCGATCTTCAGCTGCATCGGCAGACACATGTTGCATACCTCGCAGTGAAAGAAGTTGTGGGCACCGCCGATGCGGCAGATGCCACAGCCATGACAATGATATTGCTGCTTGTCCGCATCATCGAACAGATTGCAAATGAGGCACGTGTACTGTAAAGGAATAATATGTATCAATTGGAGAGAGAGGAAGGGGGAGAGGGAGTTGGAAGGTTGGCACTCACCTTGCCGAAGCGTACGCCGCACTTTTCGCATTGCTCCTGCACCTTTTGCCGCGTGTTGCACTCGGAACAGATGAGTTCGGTGAGTGTTTTCCGATCGAAATGATGCGATTCGTTCTCATCATGGCAGAAGCGGCACTTGTAAAACTTATTGCAGCACGGTGTCTGCAAAGAGTACAGGGTAAGAACTATGATACATATTGATTTAAAACAATAAATCTTAAGAAGAACTTAAGTATTTTATGGATTCGATGAAAGGTTTTTGGGAACATCAGAACTTGTGTTCTGAAGACGCAAGAACCTTTTTATTATATCTTGTGAGCTTAAATCAAAGTTTAACAGAAAGACAGCCTATCTAAAACTCTATCTTAAAATTTTTTTTAAAAGTTCACCAATGCATATTAATAATTTACCGACTCACTTTATATTTTCTTGACTATATACAACTTTATCGAAATCATCATGGTAAAGTGCATGTTAAGCTTACAATGAACATGCGAATGCAACTCTGAGTCTTGGAAGACGCATGAGGCAACAAACAAACAAAGAATTCATTCATCAATTTTAGAAAAATATTAAAATATAGCTGCTATATCAAAAGTTTATCGACTAACTTAATATTTTCTTGACTATATACAACTTTATTGAAATCATCATGGTAAAGTGCATGTTAATCTTACAGTGAACATGCGAATGCAGCTCTGAGTTTTGGAAGAAACATGAGGCAAACGAAATTCAATACCAAGTGAAGCTGTTCGTGAAATGAGAGTAAGAGGAAACGGCTGCCTGGAAACTAGCGACTGGCATTTGGTACGTGACCAACCGTTCCGAAACAATTCCATTTAGTTTGGTTTTGGACCTGCGAGCTCGGAACTTAGCATTACCATAAACATTGCAGACGCAACTCAATTAAGAGAGTCATAAAGCTTAATTAAATCAAACCGAAACTGAAATCGAAGACATGCGGCGCCCGTGGCCAATTTGTGGCAAATAAACAATGCTCAGCACAGAAACGCGCCGGTTCATTAGTTGCCTGCTAATTGTTTGGCTAAATACGCTTATTTCCCACATAGATATTTTCGGACTGCCAATATTTAGTTACAATTAAATATTCGGTGCATTGCAGAGTCCCCGATGTCAATATTCAATCAGGTTTCTCGACCTCCAAGCAATTTCGACACGCCCATGCTCCGACACGAGCTGACCATGAGATATCTTTACAATTCTAAAATAATAATTCACTTGCACGCTTGACATATTCTTAATTGGCCACGCAATATTCGCAGTTCAAATTTTGGAATTCCGCGGTGCGAAAACTTCGATTTTAGTTTTTCGATAATGGATAATAGACTGGTTAAAAGCTTGGCTTTTCAGTTATATTTACAAAATTTTTGCCCGTTGTACTGAAAATATAATATACAATATATATTTTCATATACAAGATGCGGGCTAGATTTGACGCCTACCCAAAATTTGGCAGCTACCAAATAAGGTTAGGTAAATGCAATAGTTGGGGACCAAAGTTCCTTATATTTTCGGAGCTAGGTCTGCCTTACTAGGTTTCGGTTCACATGTTCTTTGGATAAATGATTCGGTTAAAGTTTTGTAAAAAGTAAACTAAAATTCCGGGTTCGAACGAAATCGGCTTAAAGCCGGGTTGCAGCTTTACTTTTTACACACTTTGTTTTAATATATCGTTACAAAATTACCCATGTTCAATGGGTTCCGGGAATAAAATAATTCAGAGTTGTATAATTTTAGATGGAACCCCTCGAATAAGACTATCTAGCTACTTGAACCGTTCAACCATTCTTGATATAAATATTATGAAACCATTGAAAATGTGTAAAAAGGGCATATTGTTTTTCTGCTAATGTATGTTAGTATATATATTCTTGATCAGAATCAATAGCCGAGTCGATCTTACTTTGTCCGTTTGTTTGTCCGTCTGTCCGTCGATCTCAAAACCTATCAGAGCTAGAGACTAGATTTTGAATGCAGTTTCTATAATCGATAATCGATAGCTTGCCCCGTTTTCAAACAATCGATAAATATAGATATCTTGTTTTTTGAGAAAATCTCTTAGGATTGTAGAGCTTGAACATGTAGCTTCTAGAATATTATATACAGATCGATATATTTCATTTTATAGCTACAGATTCTTATCAACATCATTTTGTATAAGCTACACTTCACTCTTATAATAATTATACTTAAAACCTCTTTTAACTCAATATCTATATCCCTAGGCATACAACATTTTCTTTTATTTTGAGAGGAAAACCAAGTCTATTATTTCAATTAAACATTTAAAGTGGGCGGAAATAATTGTTAAATAAAATGGCGAATTTGTTAAGGAGATATCCGTGTCTATATTTACTCTTCTGCTGGGTACTATCGCCAGAAGAGTACGCAGCATTCGGTGTGTTATGAAAAACTCTGATCGCATTTTCATACGTGCATTGAAGCTTTGCTCTCTTGTTGCTATAAATAAAACAAAAACACTTGCAATAAAAGTAAAGTACATTTAAAGCCGGTTTCTTTGATTTTCCCGCTATCATAATTTTTATTTAGCCGCAAAACTCATTTCCATTCATTCCAAACATGATGTCAAAAGCCTAACGCCCACTTGGATGGGCTGTAGCTTAGAGAAAAGGCGTACGCCTTGATAACTTCGGTTTCCGAGTCCATTTATATATAAAAAAGAATACTTAACTGTGTACTAAATAACTTAAACTATTACAAGCAATAAATTTAACAAAGATGAGACAATTTTAAAATAAAAACGAGAAAGTTAAAATATCTTCGCCACGCCGAAGATTTAATACCCTTGTAGATACTTTCCTTTGGCAGATATATGAGAAAAGCGCATCTAAAAAATGCTGAGTTTGTTGAAAATAACTTTGAAAATAGAATATTTTGCCAGTTGGGATCCTACTATTCCACCGACCTTTCCTATAACAGCTATATGATATAGTGGTCCGAACTAGATAAGATTATACATATATATGAGAATCATAATAGAACAAACAATTCTGAGTTTGGATCAGTTATCTTAATATAAGAAAAGGTTTCCAACTTTTCGAACGATCGTTCCTATGGCATCTATATGATCGGACTGGTTAGTACTACCTGCAACTGAAAGACAGACCTATGTAGAGTTTCTGGACGATAGATTTAAAACTGAGAGACTTTGAATAGAAACAGACAGAGGGACATGGCTATATCAATCCAGCTATTTGATGCTGATCTAGAATATATAAACTTTATGGGTTCGAAAATGTCTCCTTCACATTTCATGGTTATAATGCGCTCTACAAGGGTATATAAAAATGGAACAGTCGGTAAATTTGTGTAGGTCGAACTAATTCCAAGCAACTGCAGAATGAGAACACGGTCTTCTAAACGATCTATAACACACGTTTATGCATATTAAATTGAGTTCACCTGATTCAATAATAGGTACTATATAAACATATGCATATCTATGTAAGAAACCCGACACACACTATAAATTTAATTTGTTACTGGCTAAACACTCAGATAATTTAACGTGCACACACAGGCCCCTAAAACGTGCAAATAAATGTCGAGCACACAAATTTCCGTGACATTTTTTAATTTTCAACAAACGAATGTTAAAAACCAAGCTGTTTATGGATTTTGTTTACTTAAAATATGACTAATATGCAAAACATTTCCAAGCAATTACCTAAAAAATTAGCAATTATTATATGCTGGCAGAACAAACGATTACTGAAAACAATTATTTACCGACTTCTTTTAAGACTTATCACACTCGAAGTTTTACAGTTCACACAAATTAGCTGTCTGGAACAGCTTCTAATGTTCCTGTCAAAGCTCATGTTAGTTGACAAGCGGACAATTTGTGCGCAGAGGTGGCAACCTCACGACAACAAGCTGGCAACACCCAAGCGTCTGTTTGGGAAAACTCAGCTCATTTTTTCACCATTAAACTTTCGATCAAATATTTGCTGTTAAATATTTAGATATATTTAAGGGTGCTGCCATATTTTGAATACATTGCAAGGTGGCAACACGCTAATAGAAGATATTTAAAAGGTTTTTTTCTAGAAAAATTTATTAGAACTTAGAAATTGTAGATTCGACAAATATTATTAAAAGATAAAACGAATCGCTTAAACTATTTTCTTTGTATGTTAAAACGAAATTAATGATTTAACTTTTTAAAAATATTGTTTTTATCGATGGAATTTAAATTCTTTGCTGCTAGATCATAAATCTCAACATATTCACTTGTGAATACTCTTTAATCTCATCGATCCATAATTTAATTATTTGCCAGACACTGTGCCAATCGGCACTTATTTTGGCATCAGATACATATAATGCCCAAACTGAAGCTAATTGCCAAAAAGGCAAGTGCTGAAAATAGTACAGAAACAAGCGCTTTATTTATGCACTCACAAAAAAAAAGCAGAAAAAAAAGTGCTAATATTTAATTTAACAATAAAGATAAAGGCTCGTAAGTTAGACGGGATCAATGGAGGTGCTAAATAGGCGCTCACTTTCAGATCTACTGCAATCGAATTCTTTCTGTGAGTAAGCTAGAGGTTCTTGTCGAGAGTGTACGACTAGTAGATACCCTACGGCCTGATTGTTAACTTAATTTATTACGCTTTTCTTTTTTTTATCAATTTATATATAAAAGTGAAGAATTTCTAACAGATGATATGGCTTTTGTTTTATAATTTTATATAATATATATACTTTTTGTCTAAGGAATTCTCTGAGAAATAAATTCTAATGCTAATACGAAAATCGTATTATTTATTTATTCCCTTTCGTTTCCCTCAGAATGTTAAAGAAGTTTTCACAACTTTCATTCTTGATTATCATTTTTTTAAGGGTAAATACTCAAGTGTGCTTTTTCTGTTATATTCAATATAATATATATTCTTTTTTTTTGTTTTTGTTATTTTTGTTGGATTGTGGACACAATTCACAGGCAAACACTAATTCTCCCAATTGAGCCCAAATTATGCAGGCACACAACGCACAAAAGAAATGTAGCCGCAATTGTGAGTATCTGTGTATTTGTATCTGAATATGTATCTGTATCTGTGTATCTGTATCTGTATCTGTATCTGTATCTGTATCTGTATCTGTATCTGTATCTGTATCTGTATCTGTATCTGTATCTGTATCTGTATCTGTATCTGTATCTGTATCTGTATCTGTATCTGTATCTGTATCTGTATCTGTATCTGTATCTGTATCTGTAACCGTATATGTGTCTGTATCTGTATCTGTATCTATATCTGTATCTGTATCTGTATCTGTATCTGTATCTGTAACCGTATCTGTGTCTGTGCGGAACCTACGATTGTTTGTTTGTTTAGAAACGTATAAATAAGTTGAAATGTTCGTTTGTGGAGGCAACTTCAGGAAAAGCGCCACAACGACGAAAACCAGAAGCCGACAAGGCGAGGCGCCTCCGTAAATTGCCACGTGGTCGACATAATCAATGATATTTTATTTTAGCAAAAAGCGCCACAAATTGCAAATTACCTAAAATGCTCAGATGGTAAAATAAATAAAATGTTAACCTTGGGTTGGTTTTTTTTTTTTTGGTACTTTTCTTAGCAGCAATTGAAAAAAAAAGACTTTTTTTGAACATTTCTCAGATGATATAGAAAGGAAATTGGTTCAATTAGAATGTGCGCTTCCTAAGATCTTGCGATACATTTTATTTAAAGACACAGATTTATTGGGCAATAGCTTATTTGAGATATTCTCGAATAAAATTAATCAATAATTCGACTTCGAAATTTGTATTTTCATTTAATTAATAAGGCTTTAAATACTTTTTATTGTAAAAAAAATTTTAGCTCGAAAATGAATTTAATTGCTATTTAAATTGATAGCAGGGGGATCTACATTATATTAGAACTTTATTTTTTATTTATTCTATTTCTATTCAATTTTTATTCAATTTTTTATCCTATTTCCATTCTTTTTATATTCTATTTCCATTCTATTTCTATTCTATTTCAATTCAATTTCTATCATATTTATATTTTAGTTCTATTTACAAATGAGAATTGCCTTAAGGCAATCATAGGATTGATCTGCGTATAATATATTTTTTTTTAAAGTTTTTGTTAAAATTTGCATTCTGAAAGCTGAAGAATAACTAACAAGAACAGACTTAGACTTAAAGGAGACTTATTCAAGACTAGGATTGGAATAGATGTTGCAAGGCTTACCACAAACATGGCGCGTCGCTTGTAGTGCGTGCAACCGAAACGCAATGATTCCGGCGTCGTTGGCTGCGTTGCATCAATGTTGTTGCACTTGTTGCTATCGTGTGGAAATTGATCGTGTTGCTGTTGTTGCTGTTGATGCTGCTGTTGCTGTTGCTGCTGTTGCTGTCGCTTGATGTGGGCGACAACAGCAACATCCTTGATGGCAATGTTGCTAGCCTCCATGGCGGATTCGACGTGATTCCTATTACAGTATTTGTTGCTGTTGCTGTTGTCAACAATATTGCTGTTGCTGCCATCAAATTTGAGAGCCGGCGTCGAGTGTGATTTTCGCAAGTGAACAGCAGCAGCAGCTGTTGCTGTGCTTGTCGCTGTGACTGTGACTGAGACTGAGACTGAGGCGGGGGTGTTGGCAGACGTTGAACACGACGCGGCGCACGATGCCAGCGCCGTTGGCGACATAATCAGCTGTTGTCGCTGTCGTTGTAGCTGTTGTTGTTGCTGTTGTTGCTGTTGTCGCGCTATCTCAGTTACAGTTGCTGTAGCTAAAATAGCAAGCGACGTTGATGATGATGACGATGATGATGATTGTGCTATTGTTGTTGCTGCTGCTGCTGCTGCTGTTGTTGTTGTTGTTGCTGACGCAGCCTCCAGTGAGGTCGCCAGCGACTGCGACGACAAAGTCGTTGACGATGAATTTAAATTGAGTTGATTGAGTTCTTTTGTATTGGTAAATGTTTCTACATCAATGTTGCTTTTATTGCTGTTGTTGTTGCTGTTGCTGTTGCTATTCTTATTGTGGTTTTCACTTAGCGATATTCTTTGCTGCCTCTGCTGTCGCTCAAATTTGTTGCAGCCCCCGTTGCCCAGCCAATTGCTGCTGCTGTTGGCGCTGTTGCAGTCGTCGCTGCTGTTAATTGCTACCATCGACGCTGCCTTTTCAATTGCTTCAATATTTAAATGATTTGCCGCTGCCGTTGCGACATAAACTTTGTCTTTGTTCGTTTTGGTGCCGTGCCTTTTATTGTCTTGGGGCTGCTGTTGGCTTGGCTCATCAACAACAACAACAACAATCACAACGCGGCTGCTGCTGTTGATGTTGCTGTTACTTTTGATGCCCTCTGCAAACTTTCGTTTGTGTAACTTTTTATATTCAATTCGCGGTTCGTCCACGCCAGCAAATATGTTGCTACTTCCAAAGCTTTAATAGGCAACAGTGTGCCAATATTCATTTGTTTGGCAAATTCAACACGTTACAAAAACAAATTTTATGTAATTGTATTCAACATTGTTGGCATTGCGTAGCTTTTTATATTTTCCGAACAACAAAGTAAACACACATCACCTTTCTATTTTGTAGAAAAATTCATAAAACAAGTATTCATATATTAAATCTTTAGAATATTATTTTAAATTTTATTAATCGAATCGGGTAATTTATTTGTTAAAATTATGTAAGAGATTTACATTTCATTTAAAACTGAATTACAAAAATTTGAGAAATTTGCAAAATATTAAGAATTTATTAGCAATATAAAGGGTGCACGGAGTTTTATTTAAACATAAATATACACATTTGTTTCATTCATAAACATATCTATTTATTATTTATATATATTTAAATATTGTTTCACTCCCTCTGACACTTGAAATTGAAAAACTATAAAATATGAGTAAATGTTATTTTTGTGCACAGTTTAAATATACTTGTCACAGTGTGAGACAACGGCACACTTGTTAATATATAATGACGAGCTGCGAGTGGTACGTTGGGACTTTCGCTTGCTTTTTTGACTGTGTTGAGCCACGACCAGAGCTGAGCTTTTCAGCTATGAATGAAGACACTATAAAACTGACTCTCATGCACACACACACACACACGCACACAGCAGACACACATTCAAGTACGCTCATACAGAGATACTATGCTATGTAAATTAACGATTATTTGCTAACATCTTATATGTACTGTATTTAAATACATATACAATTTTTATTATCTTGCGTTTCGGCAAGAAAAGCCCTGAGTCTTGTTTACTTAGGTTTTTTTTTTATATTTTTGCAATTATAAAGGGAACACGCCGACAATAAATATTGAAACTGTGCACAAATTAAATACGCGAACGCGAACCGATAAAAAGGCCAAGCGGAGAACCAGACAGTCGCCGATCGAACAGAAAACCCGCTAAGCAACAACAACATTAACAACAACAACAATAACAGCAACGAAAACAAGCCCGAAATACGGATTTCGTTTATTAACTTTCCATGTTTACGCACGCACGCACGCAGGCGCACACCAACACACAAATACACACACATACATATGCAAAAACCATGAAATGCAGCTTGCATTCTGCTTTAAAACTAACAAAATAAAAACAAGCAAGTTGAAGACATTTTGATAATCGGGTTTCATATTTGCAAATACTTTATCAACATATTTTACGTTTTTCACATACATATATTTATATATACATATATAGGCATATGTGCGTTTGTGTGTATTATTTTGATTTTGTTATTTTATGCAATTTGTTGTTTAACGTGTTTTTTGCCATTTCTTCGTGTGCATGGTAATCATTAAAGGTTTTTCGTTTCAATATCGAACTGCCATCATCATTTTGTACTATTTCAGCATTTTGTGTATTTTTGTTAATTATAATTTATTAACAATAAAAAATATAGAAGTGAAACACACCAGCGAATACCACAACAACAACGACAACAACAGCAACAGGCGTCAATTAAATTAAATAAATGAGTGCACCGCTCAGCGGTTAAAAGTCGCGCGCTCGTCTTGTTTTGCTTCGCGCGGGCTCCAGCTTTCAACTGACGACGCGACGATGCCGAGCATTGAACTACACGTGTGGGAGCCCCAAAAGAGAGAGAGAGAGAGAGAGAGAGAGAGAGAGAGATTCTCTTTTAGGTTTGTTTCAAAGAAATCGAATAATACAAATTTCTAGCCTAAATGCATGTTATTTGGGGAAATGTTTATATCTAAATATATATATATATAAAAAAGCAGTTAATTTATTATTCAAATATTATTAATAATAATATATCCTGAATGCTACTCTCTGTTTTTAAACAAATTTATTATATGTCGCTTATTTCTGTTGATCAGCGGCCTCCCAACCGTTACTCTCCGCTTTGGGCACTTGTTTTTGCTGGCGCAGCAGCAGCATTATCTAAAGCTTTCGATTTTGCGAGATAAAACGTGCTTTTAGTAGCATCTCAATGCCGCTAAAGCTTAAATATGTCAATCGCAAACATAACTTGCTTTTATATTTTGTTATAATTCGAGAATCAGCTTATAATTATTTTAATACAATTTGTGGAATGTTTTAGCCCGTACAGGTAATTCGTACATATAATTAACCTATTTTCGTTTTTCTTTTCAATTTTAGTTTTTTATTATTCGTAGCTAAAAACGTTACCAATAGATCGATATAACTTTTTTAAATTCTGTTAAGCGATGAATCGATCCCGAGTGCCTTGAAAGAAGTGTTGAGCAAGCACTAAAGTGCGAAGTGCACATATTAACTTATTTCATTTTGGTAATTGATGGTTAGGTGCACTAGACAAAGTCGGTCCCAATGAGTTGTCATTTTTGAGGAACAGAAAGTTTTTATACTCCCCAAATAATTTAGCAATTGACAAACAACACTAGTTGTGTAACAGAATGAATCGAGTATCGAATATTAGAGTTTCGCTCGACAGGACATCTTCTAATAGGAGGAATCAACTCGATGCAGAAACTGTTAATCATATTTTAAAAATCGGTGGAACATTAAACAAAGATTGAAAGTCAAAATCAAGTCAACAAAAACCTCAAAACTATTTCATCCAAAGGCAGGTTCAAGTATGAAGTTGGAAAACGGAAAAATTGTTGTGGCTATGTTCTTTGTAGTTTGTATGTTGTTGACTCAAAAGAACTTATTTTAATAATATACGCATAACTTTTATACTAATCATTGTGTATACAAAATTGTGTAATTAAATTTACAGCTGAGGCTAATCAATTTTAAATTTGATTTATTAATAACTGTTATCCAAATTCCGATAAGAAAAATCAGCATAAAGTTTCATCAACATCGCTGCGTGAGTCGGCAGAACTGTCAGTACAATGAAATCGATTAATCGCGAAAGTGAATAGCTTTGGTATCGATAGGTAAAATTTTCGATGCTTTTTACGACAAATTCGTATGCACAGGTCAGGTTAGTGTCGTTCAGAGAGTCATAAATATAACTAAAAAAATGTCGGAAGAAACAAAGAAACTCGACTTATCTGGCGATGGAGGCGTGCTCAAGGAAATACTGAAGGAGGGCAGTGGCAACGAGACGCCAAATAACGGCTGCAAGGTCTCGCTTCACTATACCGGCAGACTTGTTGACGGCACGGAATTCGATTCCAGCGTGGGTCGCAATGAGCCATTTGAATTTGAATTGGGCAAAGGTATGGGCGTTTGGAGAATACTTTTCACACACAAAATATTGATTTAAATGCGTATCCAAAGGTCGCGTTATCAAAGCCTTTGACATGGGTGTCGCCACAATGAAGCTGGGCGAGCGCTGTTTCTTGACATGTGCTCCAAACTACGCTTACGGCGCTGCCGGCAGCCCGCCAAGCATACCACCAGACTCAACGCTTATATTTGAGGTAAGAATACAGCCATGTGTAGCCTGTGTCCCACAGTTATCATACATCTGCTTGATTGCAGCTGGAAATGCTGGGCTGGAAAGGCGAGGATCTCAGTCCAAATCAAGATGGCAGCATTGAGCGCACCATTCTGGAACAAAGTGATAAAAAGCGGACACCTAGCGACGGCGCATTTGTCAAGGGTTGGTCACTATTATCAAAGTTTTGCGGTCTTAAGTAGTGGTTAAAACGCCTTTGCTCAAAACATTTTCAGCTCACATTTCTGGAAGCTTCGATGGTCGCGTGTTCGAAGAACGCGATGTAGAATTCGATTATGGCGAGGGCAGTGCCATTGGCATAGTCGAAGGCCTCGAACTGGCACTGGAGAAAATGAATATTGGCGAAACATCCAAGTATATACACTTGAACTCATTACTATGCTTATAGGCAATATATAGTACACATTACCTTCAAACCACTGATCGCAGATTAAGTACCCTTGCTGATTGGCGAATCTATGCAAAAAGTCTGCCTATAAGCATAGTAAATGATAACGAACAGATTCAATTGCATTGCTTACGCGCATCTATTTCCATATTACTAACAGAATCAAAATACAATCAAAATATGCCTTTGGGGCCAAAGGCAACGAGGCCTTTAACATACCCCCAAACTCAACTATTGAGTACACTGTGAAATTAATAGACTGCGGCAAGGGCCTGGAGGAATGGAAGTTGAGTGACAGCGAGCGCGTGGCTGAGGCCAAAGTTTATAAGGAGAAGGGCACCAACTATTTTAAAAAGGATAACTTTGAGTTGGCCATTAAAATGTACAATAAGTGCAAGAACCTCTTACCCAGCATCAAGGACAATACCAGCGACGAGGTCAAGGCACTGAAAGTGGCCACACACAGCAACATCGCTCTGTGTCATCAAAAATCCAACGATCACTTCGAGGCCAAACAAGAGGTGGGTGCAGCAGCACACCTGACATTATATATGCATGTGTGATCTATATTAATGATATTTTCATTTAAACAGTGTAATGCTGTGCTGGAATTGGATGCCAACAATGTCAAGGCACTGTATCGCCGCGGTCAATGTAATCTGATTATAAATGAGCTGGAGGACGCTTTGGAAGATTTTCTGAAAGTGGGTAAAGTAGATTTTGATTAGGAACCGATTTAACTGGCTGTAAACAATTGCAGGTTATAGAACTGGAGCCTGGCAACAAGGCTGCTGCCAATCATGTTGTTATTTGCAAGCAAAAGTTAAAGCAAAACAAGGACAAGGAGAAGAAGTTATATGCGAATATGTTCACCAAACTGGCTGCCGGCGACAAAGAGGTACTATAATTAATGCAATAATAAACTGCCCCCACTAATGTGTATATGCAAATATTTCTATTGTTTTTTTTTATTTTAATTGTCCAGACGGAACCGCCACGCGAAACGGACGTGCTCGACAAGTGTGGTGAATGGTCCGAGGAGGATGCGAAACGCGAAGCTGATTTAACTTTAGAGCGCGACAATATCATTATGATTTAATTTATATGCACTCAGCTTGCGGCCCAATGCGCTATTTATGATACATACCAATATTATTATTAATGCTTGCAACCCCAAATTATGGAAATGAATGGTAATGAATATAAATATATCTTGTATCCCTTAGATTTTTATTAAATACGTTTACAAATAGCATTGGAAATAATATCACAGTTTACACAGTTTATTTACTAATTTCCTTTTCACGCCGCATCAGCTTAAAATTGGGTTTTGGCTCCTTGTCCCGCAGCCACAATGGCGAAGTCGGCACCTGAGATTTGATATATTCGGATGCCTTGAAGCAATAGCCGGAGCAGAACTTTTTGCGTTCAGTTATATCGTACACCTTATTCCTGGTAACGCAGATTTGATACTGTTTCACAGGCACTCTAAAATATAAGATTTTAGTATACAAACAGATGTATGTAAATTGTCCTCACTTTTCCACAACCGCATTACAAAGTGGATAACCACACAGCTTGTTAATGTGTCGTTCTTCAACAATATCTGCGTAGTTATCCGGGCCGATTTCAGTTAGCTGTTGAAAACCAAATCATATACACATACATACAGCTTTAATAATTAAAATACTTATTTACCAAATCAAGAAACGCCTGCTCCTCAATGTGTGGCTCCAGGAGTGTGACAACTACTTGATGAGCTCTGGCGACTGCTGCTCGCTTCTTAACCACTGCCGCAATAAGTTGTTCCCTTCAATGGACAAAAAAAAAACAATAAAAATGTATTTTTTCACATAAGAAAGATGAATTTACCGCAATGGTTGATTATTTTCCGTAGTCATATTTTGTTTATTTCATATGGATACATATAGTTGCCAACATAGATTATCGATAACTCGTGAACGTGATTTATTCACGGTATCCAATCATCGATAACATTCTATTGTGAACGATTATTCCTGATCACACAAACAAAACATTAAAGAAAATTAATATCTGCCGCAACACCTAGGGGTAACTTTTAATACAAATAATTACACACTTTTAAATGGTTTGCGATAAGTGTGAGTCCAAATTGACGAAGGTATCGGCGCCTAATCCTTGGCGAACTACCAATGCAACTGCCGGAGGACGCAAAATCAACGAGAACAAGGCACTCTCCTCTTCCAAGGAGCGTTACAATCCCATGGGCAATAGCTTGGCACCTTGCCGGTAAGTTCACGACTATTATGACAGCTTCGTTAGTTGATTATTTTCTCGTTTGCAGCATATGCAGACAGAAGGTGCATCAAATGGGAGCGCACTATTGTCAGGCGTGTTCCTATAAAAAGGCGATCTGCGCAATGTGCGGCAAGAAGATATTGAATACAAAGAACTATAAGCAGAGCGCAACATAACAACGGTTTGTTTTTTACAAATTAATTTTAAGTAAATAATATGCATTAACAAATAGTTCAACGTTTAAGCTTAGCATATCAAAAATTTTAATTAAATAATTTAAATGTATTTGCAACTGGGGTCAACTCTCAGTTGGTGATGTCTTTTCACGCTCCCGTCTTCGTTTGGCGCTCTGCACTGAGCTGGAGTAACTGAGGGCATCCTTATCAAACTCCATCGGCATTATGCCCAGATCGCCGCTGTAACGATTTTTGGCTACTTGCAGATACTTCTTGCCACGCACCGAGGTCAGCCGCTTGTCCTGTATGATCAGCACATTGTCTGCCTCCTGGGTGGCCTTTGCGGTGCCAAATACCGAGCTCGTTGTCAGCTCATCCTCCTGCCGTTCCTTGCGAGGATGCATGACCAGTGTGACGTGCACATTATGCTTGGTGGCAAAGCCACGAAATGCTGCTATAATGGAGTCCTGTTCCCAAAACTTGTCGCCGCGATACGATGAAACGCCCATCATAAACTGTAAATTGTCTATAATCACATGGGAAATGTCGTGCACGTACTGAGCGTGCTCGATTGCCTCCAGCACTGGCTTGAGCGGCTGCTGGCCTTGAAAGGTCATAAAGTACAGCGGGAGGCGCTCAAACTCTGTGGCCCAGTGGTCAAACTCTTGCAGCTTATCATCCAGCGGATAGCCGACAAATTGGCGCAGCAGTGTCGCAGCCAGACGCGTGTTGCGTATCTCAAAGGAGCCCCAAAGTGTGCTGACGCCCTGCATGGCGAGATCCAGCGAGTATTCGCTGGTAAAGGTCGTCTTCCCGCTGCCCGTGGGCCCCGTCAATATGGTGAGCTCGCCCTTGCGATGGCCCTTGAGCAGCTTGTTGAGCACCGGAAAACGTTTCCATTTGACACCGTTCACCTTCTCGATGTTCTGCAGTTCACTCAGAATGTCGTTGCGCAGGGCATTGAATGTGGTAATGGATTTGTGCCGCACTGGCGTCGCCTTGGCCAATATGTGGCGCACGTTGAGCCGTCGCTTTAGAGCCAAATGCGGCGCTGGTTCCGTTTCGGTGGGCCGTATCAACAGGCAGCGTTTCTCATCCATTTTCTGTGCAAACGCGCGTGCCGCATCCCAACTGTGCGTGGCATCGTAGTGCAGCCAGAAGACCAACTCCTTGAAACGCTCTAAGCCAGGCAGACATTCCTGCGGCAGCAGTTGCACTGCATATGGCAGGCAGACGATGCAATCTGAAAAGTAAATGTCGCGCATCAATGAGAAATTCCATATAAAAGTCAGCATTACGCACGTGTCTCAATGTTCTGCGTGGCCAGCACTATAAAGTCCAGCAGATTGCTCACCAGCACCGCCTTGCTCTTGTTCCCTGTGCCGTGTATTAGCAGACCAGAGCTGGAGCTGCCCTGGAATGTCTCCTCGCTGCGGTCGCTCAGACGCAGCACCTTCTCGCCCACCACAATGTGGGCCGCATTGCGCAGCTTAAAGTGCAGCAGCTGCTGCTCGGGCTCATACAATACTCCAATGGCATTTAGTTGCGCCTCCTTCAAGCCCTTCAGACCGAGCGCTTCGCAAGCCTCCGTTGTAACATTCACCAAATTGGGGAAACGTGATGCATATTCCGGTCTCTTTTTTGCTGCGCGCTGATAGCCTGACGGCGGTGGTGTCTGGTACGCCCTGGCGGCATTCGCAAGGGTAAGTTTAACATCACAATTAGGACAAATAAAGGCGCCTGAAAATAAAAGTAGCTCGTTTAAAAATCTTAAACATACATATGTTTATATGCATGTGCAGTGCGCGAATGACGTCACAGTTCCTACACTAAATGTGTTTTGATTCCACCTAACACATCTTTCGGGTTCGCACTTTAACATAAAACATAAACATACCGGTTTTTTTATTTATGTAAGCCAGCGGGCCCTGTGCACGCGTTGTTGCCGTAGCCGGCATTCGCTCGCATAGCCGGCATTCCAGTTGCAAGCACGTGTGTCCATCCTTATTGTAGAGGTTTTGCTGTCGTAATTGTTTCTTAAAGTCTATATACTCTTTGGTGTCAAATACGTATTCTTCAGATACGGCGCTCGTTGCATAATGCTGTCCAAGTAAGCGTCTGCTTTTATTTACGCGCAACAGCAGCGGTTTAATTAAACCGGCGAGTCTCATGGCACAGGGTGACTCGCGCGCATTGTTGCCATACAGGGCGTAACGCTATGAGGCGCACAAACGAGTGCCTTTTCAAAATGTTCTCTTCAAATTAAAATTGGCACCGCAAAAAGCAAATACTATTTAGACCTGCACAAAGATCAACCAATATAAGCTTAACTTGATGTACACACCTATATATTCCAAACAAACTCATCTGCATATGTATGCACATATCAGATGTGTGTTTAACCAACCTTAAAAACTCCTGCATAATGCTTGGTTCATTTATATTGAACACAAAAAAAGACAGAAATTTTGCTTTAAAATGTTTATTGAGGTACATGCCCCTATTATGGGCGTATAATATAGAATATTTTTAATGTCTAACAAATGCGATGCCCAGCCTGAAGATTTGGCGCGTCTTTCTGCAAATTAAATGTAAGAATTTGATTAGATATAAAAGAGGTTATGCATGTAAAAAAGTATTATTATTGAGTGCTTGCATCAGACGCCTAAGGCCATCTTTAAGTGAATTAACACTTTCTGGTGGAAACCGCAAAAGGTAATTGAATTAATCATCATTTAAGCACCAAAAGTATGTATAAAAAAGAAATTTATAAAATATTTACCTCGCACGAAGCCGAATAATGCGCCGTGTTCAATATAACCTCACTTAGGTTATGCAGACGTCTGCAAAGAATTGTAAATACATTTTAAATGAATTTTTCAAAATTGATTAACTTGCATATTTAAGTAAATATGTCAGTATAATACAAATCAACATAAGTAATCTCAGAACAGGTCTGTGTTTAAATCATCATAATCACACAAAAATCTACATTTTATAGTCTTCTTACCATGTCTGCAAGAGTATGCTATCTGCATTTACGGACCGGTAAATCGCCATACGCCATCTTGTTTTTAGAGGCGACTACGTCTTCCGAGACATCGTGCATAAGCCTAAAAATTACATTTAATTGACCATTAGAATAATGAAATTTAGGTGCAGTTCATTTAGAAGGCTTAGAATCAGTTTACATCGAATTCCACATGACTTTTACTCAGCACAGGTCTGTGTATAAGTTCATCACGTGTTTCTATAAAGAACAAATTGAGAAATATTTCTTACCTTTTATTGTTCAACAATTTAAATGTGCATCCACATTATGGTGATATTACGTATTCAACCCTGCAATACAACGAAATTAAACATTAGTTTTCTCATCCTCACTTCAAAAGGCATTTTAATAAAATTGTGCCATCAGATTGCCGGATCATCTTTAAATGAACAAATATTGTTCGAAATTACATTGAAAGATACAATATAAAATCGAGAATAAGTTCCTTCAGTCTCGTCATCAGTTTCATCATTTGTGGCCATAAATATTTATTTGATTTTTACGTTTAATAAAAATTGCTTAACCACAACTCACCATCTTTCACAAAATGTTCAATCCAAATGAAAGATGAAAGCACGTGGCACAACCAAGAAAATTCTTGGACTTCACTTTTGATATCATCAAGTATGCATTTGTTTTCTATCGATTAATACGTGCAATGTTGCATCAGACTTCTGTTCAAATCGATAGGTTTTCAAACTCTGCGAAAAACAGCTGAGCAATAAAAAATAAACACGTGCGGTTGCATTGCATTTGGGTTTATAATTGTTTACATTATATTGACACATTACAAAATATATAATGGTAAATATTTTCTTATAAAAAGTGCAAAATAAAACATAATTCCATTCACACAATTTTAGGGTAAGCAAAAGAAGACAAAAAAGATACAGAAGCAGCGAAATGCACAATTGAAGCGTCTGATGAAGCCCACCGATTCCCGGATCAAGGAGCAAGCACGCCAAAAAAGAAACAAGGCAGACGATCCTCATGACATGAAAGTACATGAAGCCACACAGCAGAGCTCGGCGCTCTTTTTCCAGTACAACACACAGCTGGGACCGCCCTATCATATCGTGCTCGACACGAACTTTATTAATTTTAGCATTAAAAATAAGCTGGATATAGTGCAGTGCATGATGGACTGTCTGTACGCCAAGTGCATACCATATATATCGGACTGTGTGCGCGCCGAGCTGGAAAAACTGGGCAACAAGTATAAATTGGCCCTGAGGATCATATCCGATCCCCGCTTCGAGCGTTTACCCTGTTTGCACAAGGGCACCTACGCTGACGACTGCTTGGTCGAGCGAGTGCGTCAACACAAGTGCTACATTGTGGCCACAAATGACAAGGACCTGAAGAACCGCATACGCAAGATACCTGGCGTCCCGATCATGTATGTCGCTGCGCATAAATACGCCATTGAGCGTATGCCCGAGGCGTACGGTGTTAAAGCGTAGTCCAGATTATGAATATATTTAACATCTGATATTTGTACTGTTTTAAATATATAATCTTTGTTTTTAAAGATATCTTGAAAAAACTATTTCTATTCAATAGATGTTTCCCCATTCGAGCCAAATCCAACAACAATTAAGTATTCATATGTTTTTGATATAGAAGTTTTGTTTATTTAAAAAATCTGGTTCACGATGATCTTAGGCATCGGCGTGCAGACGAGCCGTTGGCTTCGACAGGAAGTCGGAGTATGCCTGGTAGGGTGTGGAGCCCAGGGGCATTTCCTTCCACAAGTCTGGAGTCAGGTAGGCGTATGTCTTGGCGATAGCAGCATAGGTAGCCTTGGCGAAGTTACCCAAAGTACCAGTTGAGCCACGAGCGGAGGTGTAGCAATCCTCAATGCCAGCCATGGTCAGCAGCTTCTTTGGTACGGGAGCTGAGACAATACCGGTACCACGGGGAGCTGGGATCAGACGCACCGAAACGGAACCGCACTTGCCGGTAACCTTGCAGGGCACGGTGTGGGGCTTGCCGATCTTGTTGCCCCAGTAGCCGCGGCGTACGGGCACAACAGACAGTTTAGCAAGGATGATGGCACCACGGATAGCGGTTGCGACTTCCTTGCTGCACTTGACACCCAGACCGATGTGGCCATTGTTGTCGCCAATGGCGACGAATGCCTTGAAACGTGTGCGCTGACCGGCACGCGTCTGCTTCTGGACGGGCATGATCTTGAGGACCTCATCGCGCAGAGCAGAGCCCAAGAAGAAATCGATGATCTCGAACTCTTTAATGGGCAACGAGTAGAGGTAGATCTCCTCGAGCGACTTGATCTTGCCCTCGCGCACCAGACGACCTAGCTTGGTCACTGGCACCCACTCCTTGGAATCTTCCTTGCCACCACGACCTCGTGCGCCGCGTCCACGGCCACGACCACGTCCACCACGACCACCGCGAGAGCCAAATCCACCTCGGAATCCACTACGGGCTGGAGCTGCGTCCGCCATTCTGCAATTGGAACAAAAACAAAAATCTTTAGTATTTGTTAGGTTAGGGACGAGCACTTATAATCGATGTTGACTTTTCAAATTTAAAGTGCTTGAATCAGACACCTAAGCCCATCTTTAAGCGAACTAACGCTTTCTGGTGGAAACCGCAAAAGGTAAGTTAATTAATCATCATTTAAGCACTTTAAAATTGCTTTAAATTTATAGGTGCGTGTACACCGCCGCCATTTTGGAACACGTGGTAATGCATACTTCAAGTTGAAATTTTCACTTTGTTTTTCAGTTACAAGTGAAAAGCAATAAACTTAATGATTACTTTTATCGCACGAATAGCCAACTATTTAAATAATAACACTATTATTGCTTCAATATGTATGCATGAATATTTAATTTAATTAAATCGACTTACTTGTAGTTGTATCAACTTTATGGGGTGAAGACAAAAACCAAATGAACGAGATATTCTAGTCGCAGCCAAGGCGAACTAATCGCTAGGGTTGCATTTAATCGATATTTAATTTACAGGAATCCTATCGATTGTCATTCGTCGGCGTTCTCTCGGTTGGTATCGGTAACTTAAGTAGCCAACTCGTTAGTTTTAAGCACATAAATATCAGTTATTTTCAAATGTTGACAACTGCTTGAAAATTTTATAATTATTTATTTTCAATCCAAATATAATTCGCATTATTTTGCCTATTTTTGAAATTCATATCATACGAAAGCTTAAATAAAATAGAGTGGAGTGGAGTAACAAATATACATTTGTATAAACAGTTGATATAAATGATATGAGGAAATTAAGATGAAGGTCGGCAAAATCCTCGGCTGAACCCTCCACGAGGGTGCCGACTGGTAATGACACTTCAGTAGTTCCCTCTGGGACTGGTGTCAGCTAAGTCAGAAGCTTAGCAACATATGGGTTGGCTCCTCAGTAGCCTGGCCTATGGCAAAGAGCTTCTGACATGGTCTGAGGTAAAATCTAGCTTTAAGCACTAAAACTTAATTTCTTAATGTAGACCCAAGTTGTCCCAATCATTCAGCCAATATAACAATGAGAATCCGGAGTTTCCATCTAAAACAAAGGTCCTAGTAGCCAGTTCTTGAATTAGAATTATTTTGTTTGTTAATAAATATATATATCCCTTAAGCATGCTAGAAATAATGTTCCAAAACTCATACATATAACCTCTTAAGAGCTTTGAATATCTTGAACTTGATCATTATTAAACGACAAGTTCAATCTGGGCCCTGATAAACTTTACTTTATGCAAGCGAAGTCCCGCCAATTCCGAATAACTGTAACTCCCATAGAGTTCCTGACGGTGCAGGAGAAAGGAAGATTTGGCGTTAGGTGTCTATTGTCTTAACCTCTTATGAATACAGATAAGCAAACTTTTATCATATCGGAGAGCTATATCTCGCCCTACCTATCTATTTTGACACCCCATTTTGGGTGGATATTTTCCCTAAAATTCTCTCTCTCTCTTATTCCTCCTGTATTATATTATATCTCTTTTATATATCTTTTGGGGCATAATATCTTTGGCATCTCAAAGTAAACTCTTGTTCTTTGTTTTTTTTTTGACTAGTAGTAGTATTTATTACACATAAATAATATATGGATTCACATAGTATAAATTGAGCCTTATGTAAGCAGAATCATAAGTTCTACCAGAGTGGGACCTTCCCACAAAGATCGCCGAGTTGGGCTGGTAGAAATGTGCGTGTATAATATAATAGTTATGCCTGGGTGTTAGTCGATCTAACTAGGGTTCCGAAAATAAATATTGCTTATGGACTATGGTACTGCGCGGAGTACGATAAATAGTTGCGTTTTGCACTGAGGACTGGGCCTAAATGCAATTCGACCACAATAATAATGTCTGGTTACTTATTGCAACAAATTGCGTCCGATTATCCAAACCCCGAACTAATTGCTGGTGTGGGTATAGTAGAGCACGGAGTTGCCGGGCAGCTGCCAGTGCGATGCCTTCAGTTCGATCAGCTGGAGCAGGGTGCGCCGTATGGAGGCGGCAGCATCGCCGGCATTGAGGAACGCATCGCGCACCAGGGACATGAGCAGCTCCAGCTGCTGCGGCAGCTGCTGCTCCATATCCTGGCCAATGCAGGTCAGCACATAGAACAGGCACTCAATCTGCAAAACGGTAATATTTCACAACTGTGGCTCAGCGAGGGGAACATAATAAATACCGGGGAAACTTACCTCGGATAGGGAACGCACGGGTGGACGCACACAATCCTCGCAGCACTTGGACAGCAGGCTGAGCAGCACCAGGGGTGGTGGGGTGCCCTCGCTGTGGGTGCGCAGCTGCAGCTGGCGGCGTTTCAGCTGGCAAAACATTTCCGTAAGAAATGCCATGAAAGCCGTAAACCGAACCCGCGACGGCGACTTCATGCCCTGAATGGCGAACAGCAGCTGCAAGGGAAATCCAGTTGGGATTGGAATCAGAGTTGGAGTTGGAGCTGGGATTTGGCTTACCTTTTCGCGTTCCTGATACCACTGGCGGCACGTGTTGAGCAGCGCCTCCAGAAACGTCTCCTTCTGCTCCTTGGCGATGATATTGAGGCAGAGACGCGATATGGGCAAAGCGAAGCGTCGACTCTCCACGGCGCGTTTTATAAACTGCGACGTCAGCTCCATGAGGCAGCGGGAATTCAATTTATTTGGATCCTCCAGTGCCGTTTCGATCAGTGCCTGTATTTCCGGCGTAAACTGGCCAATGTCGGCCACCTCGTTGCCCAGGCCCAGGCCCAATCCAGCCAAGCCGCGTGTCAGCGCATCGGCCGACGACAACGACTTGGAGCGCTGCAAGGCGGCTCCATTTAGGTAAGGATCGATGCCATTCACTTGGTATTGTTGGTGTCCATTGTTGTAGTGATTCATATTGTTGCCGCCGTACTGATTGTGCTGCGCCGACTTCTGTGCCCGGGGCTCCGGCGCGAACTTGACCCGGTTCGTCGACTATAAGAGAGGGATTTATTAATAAACTTTAAAAGCCTGACCAGCTGCCAATTGTTTTATTTACGTGAAGTATGTTGCCGCTGGATGGTGAATTCATTAGCGGTATCTGTCCGGCCATGGGATGCGTCACCAAGATGGAACGATGATGGCCACCCTTGAGGCTGTTCAGTGCGGGCA